ATTTTCACATCTTGTACTCGTTTGATTTAATTTTTAAGATGCCATGCATCAGTTAGAACAAAGTTATAATAAACACGGTATTTTAACATATATCTATATTACGTACTTATTTCAAACAGTTTATTTGAATATGCCTACATATCCAGTATTTGTTGCTCTTCTTGGATTATTTATTATCTATTTATTTGAATACATAAATATTGGTACAAGAGTGCGCCAAATATATATGCGCCACACAAAACAATGAGAATTCGAAGAGAAAGAAAAAAAGGTAAGGAGCGTGAAAAAAAGAGAACAATAACGAAGAGATTGGTGCAAGGTAGTGTAATAATAATAATGGTAATAATGGGGGAACGGGAAGGTACAATCAGAAGAAATCTTTCAGGTAAGGGAGACACAACCACTTTTTATGAAGAAAGTAAAAAAAGGTTACAGCAGGATCGCCACTGGCTTCTATTCTGAGCCATATCTGATAACGTCTCTAGCCACTGTGTAGCACCATCTCTCAGACCCCAACCAGGGAGTAGTGAAGGACCAACAGAAGCCAGTCCTTTGCAGCTTTCTTTCATCCCAAGATACCATGTCATATACTGACCACCTCTCCGCTTTTTCCAACCAGTCCCAGAGTCGGCAAATAATGCACGACGTGGAATTCTCTGGGACAACATTCGTAAAACATGTCCAAGTCACCGAAGTCTGTGTTTCAAGATGGTGACACCAATTGAAGTATCATCTCTGTGCCCGAACACACGATGCCGAACCTCTGCGTTACTGACATGGTGTTGCCACTGAATGTCAGCAATCCTTCGGAGATAGCGATGATCGAACACAGAGAGTCGTCTAACGTCCTCAACTCGGAGAGACCAGGTTTCACAAGCATAGAGCAAAACTGCTCTCACCGACGCGTTGTAGATCCGACCTTTTACAGCCAGACTAACATCACGAAGGCGCCAAAGATAGCCCAGATTGGCATAAGCCGCTCTGGCTTTCACTATTCGTGCATTGATCTCATCACTCACACCACCACCAGCACTTATGCAGCTACCCAGATACACGAACTTCTCAACTACTTCTATCTGCTCACCATCCAGGGTGAGTACAGGATTGGAATCCTGCCAGTCTTGTAGAAGTACTTTGCACTTCGAAGGTGCAAAGCACATACCATACTACGGACACTGATTGCCAACTGATTAAGTGCGGATTGCATGCCTTGGGCATTATCGCACAGTAAGACAATATCGTCCGCATACTCAAGGTCGAGAAGTCTTTCTCCAGGCAACAGATCCACACCACCATTACTTACATTCATCAAAGCTGTTTCCAGAATGTCATCGATGGCAAAGTTGAAGAGGAATGGTGAGATTGGGCAACCCTGCCTAACCCCACTACTCGAATGGAACAATGGAGAGAGGTGGTTGTATGCCCTCACTCTGCCTGAGGTGTTTGTATATAGGGCTTTTAGAATGTTAATAAACTTCTCAGGCACACCCTTCTTCAATAGACAATCCCAGAGAACAGTCCTGTCCAACGAATCGAAGGCAGCTCTGATGTCAAGAAACACTACGATTGTTGGCCGGTGGTAAGTATGGCGGTGTTCTAACATTTGGTTGAGGGTGAAGATATGATCAATGCATCCTCGACCAGAACGAAACCTAGCCTAGAAGCTAGCTCCGTTAGATACTTACTTGCAACATAACGTGCAACCAGCTTGCTGACATCAATCCGTTGATGGCAGTCACTTCGTTGGCCACTGAAAAGTAAGGCAAGATTGGCGCAGACCAAGGCATGGTCAGAGTCCAGATAGGTACTCCAAAAGGAGCGGCAGTCTTTTAAACAAACACGCTAGCGGTAGCTGATCGCGATGTGATCAATCTGAGTCCAGGCTTGGGATGCAGAGGGAGGACGCCAGGTGGCACATCGGCGACGACTGTGCCGAAAGTTAGTGCTAGCCAGAAACAGGTTGTGTTCTATGCACAGCTGCAGTAGAAGGTCCCCGTTATCTGACCTGCGACTAACAAGTCCCCATCGGCCACCGAAACGACTCTCTTCTGTGCCTAGACGCCCGACCTGAGCATCCAAGTCTCCGGCTAGTACTACAATATCTGTCGAACGCACTTTCTGGAGAAGAACAGATAACTGGTGATAAAACTCATCCTTGATTGCATCCGGGCTGCAATCTGTTGGGGCATAGGCGGAGATGACGAAAAGACATCGTTTCTCACTCCGATTTCTTCTCACTTTGATGGAACTTTCTAACCTAACAGCACATAACCGACTGTTAATGGGGATCCAATCCACTAGTGCTGCCTCAGCTCGAGCGCTTAGTGCGACAACAACACCAGCAAGACCAGACGAAGATGCCACAGGGTCCCCGGATAAGCGCATGTAAAACAAGCTTTTCGAAGCGACAGATGGAGAGCGAATTTGTAGTACTCCACCAGAGTCTTGAATACGGGTCTCGGATAGACAGCAAACAGTTCATCACGTGTGTGGGCTGTGATACTGCCCGGGTGCCCAGACCGAAGCAGGTGGTTAGCTTGGGGGGCCACACCCCGAGCGTTTGACCTAAAGGTCTGACCCACAAGGCAGTGGAACATCGTAAGGAGATGCAGTCCCGTGGTACTCGGTGGCCGAAAAGTGGTTCATGCGCCATTTGTTCCTTCAGGATACTGGAGCCCATGTGCACCATTGATTTGATTTTGGATCCGGTTAAGGCGCCAGACACTCGCTTTTCGTCCTCTCATTTTCGTAAACAACACTCTCGCCACAAGTAGGCAGTGAGTAGGACATCCCTGGCAGAGGCTGTATACGCGTGGCCGTGTGAGAGTATTTCGAGAGGGAGGGCGAATCCGCCCCGCTCTCGGCCATGCCAGGGCATTTGGAGGCTGAATATGATTTGTTCTTTACGTTCTAGTTTTTAATTTCAGAGAGATGATAAGCGACATATCGGGATGTTTCTCCGTTTAATCTAATTTAACAAGGAAATGATAATTTTATGGTACAAGATTATACTACCCTTCCTAATGAATAAACTTATTACTGTTTAGTTCCATAAACTAAAAAAACTTCGAAAACCTTAAAAATACTTAACTAACTAAGTCAACTACCTTCTCTTTAATGAGAAATTACACCTAACTAAGGACAGAAACGAATTGGCTATTCAATATAGAAATAAATAACACAACTAACCAGGTTACATAGGATTTAAATCTATGCTTTTCTTGTGAAAATGAAATTATTTTCATAGCAAAGGAATAAAGTGTTAAATAAGTATAACCGTATCATACATGCATGACAAAAAAAAGATTTCTTCTCATGAGTTAGGGTAAAAGGCAATTTATACTTACAGTTAAAAATAATGAATATCATTTAAGACTACTTGTCAGTAGTATAAATTCAACTGTGATATGAACTTTATACTGAACTCATCTTAAAATTAAACTAGACAGACGAAATGTTCATTAGGTCTTCATAAAACCACTAAAACTTTACTACAAACAGTCCCTGAAATTGTCTTATCCAGTAAGTTTGCAGATGGGATAAGTAAAAAGTATATGAAAAGTATTAGAACATTATAACAATATCAAACAAGTCCCATAGACTACACGAACATGTATAGTAACGCCTTAAATACCGACTTCAAAAAAGAACTCATTTGTAACCACGGTTCTCATAAAATAAAGCATTTTCACTTGTTAAATATTTTACACCATTTGAAACACTTACTTGTAGACTATACAAGAAAGCAGAGTGCTTTATCACTAGGCGTCCATTACTAGTTTCCAATAGGAAGCATGTAAATGAATGTCTTTGAACTTGATAATGTAACGGATTAGAATATTACTGACTGATTTAACTGTTTAAAACTAATAGATTGTGTCATGGCCATTTAGTGTTTATACTGTAACTTGTTTATAAAAAATTGTTTTTCTTTACGCCTAATGAAGTGACCGTATGAAATGAAACAACGGAATTCTACAGTGGTCTACAGAGACACAATGCGAATTTGCAGACTTCTATGTACTAGCAATTACTCCAGAAAATGTACTGTTTGTATTCAGCATTTATTCAATTTTGGAAATACACATTTATTACCTCATTTTCAACATAAAACAACACATAAGAAAACTTAACTTTATATCATAATTTTATCTTTGGGAACTGAAATTTATTCTAATTAAAAACTGAGATGAACAAAATTCTTGACAAAAAACATGCCGTTTAAATTGTTCACCGTCCATCATTTGCCATGACCTCTTGTTTGCTTCTCAAGAAGAAACCATTACTGACAGTAACTTATTAGCATTCATACACTAATTAAACATAAACCCCATATTTGATAAACTGGTAAATCACAAGATGAAAGGCCACAAAGATAATATTAAATTGTTTAATGTAAAACCAAATACAGTCAATTACAAAATGTTTAGGAATGAAAAAAAAAATATATATATATATAACTCTACAGAACTATGCGTAGATGATCACAGACTGAAAGCAAAACTAACAAATAAAGAGAATTAAAGGCAATTTTCAAAACAAAAACAACAAAAATTTGTAGTTCATTGTTTACAGTCTAAAACACTAGTATAGATATGTAAAAATCTATGAGAATATTTTCAAATACCAGAATTATATGTGAAAGGTCAACCAAAAAAAAACATAAATTTTCATCTTCCATTAATGATCATAGAACTAATTGTGTTAAATAAAAATCATAATTTCAAAGAAAGATGTTAAAACTATATGAAAGCAAACAAATTCTAATCACACCAAATCCTTCTGTATTTAAAATTATGCCTTTAACAACTCAATAGTGAGATGTTACTCAACAAAAAAGAAATACAAAAAGGGCAAAAATACAGAGAATATAAAATATGAAATGTGTTAATAAGTCATACAGGAAGAAAAAAACAATTATATCTACAATCACAACTAACAAAATAAAAGAGAAAGATCTCAGTATTCTTCCTTTATAAATGAAGAAATCTGATCATCATTTAAATATCCCATTCACATGCAGGACATTCATTAATTCTGTAACAATATACGTTGAATAGGATAGTTGCTACAACAAATAGGAGGAAGATTAGAACACAATTACAAACGAAATATTTTTCCCATTTTTCTACCTTTAAATTGCGCAAAATAACTACACCTAATAAAAGACCTAGAAATGAAAAAAATAAGACATATATATGAGAAATAGGTAATGAAATCTCAACAAAATTAAATCTGAAAACATTTTGATGATATGTTTTCCCAATGAAACTATTTGAAAAGGACAATCTTACATTTTCTTGCACATATCGGTTACTTGAAAACGACAATCTGTGTCAATGTTATGTCAAGCACCTCGTAGTATAACGACAATGAGTCGAAAAATTACTACACGGTCACCTGATTGCAAGTTTTTCTGATTTAAGTGCAATGACTAAATGATTTATTCGTTTCTGCAAACCAACAGGCACCGATTCGTGTACTCGACTTTCAGCCGGTCGATCGAAACGAACTAGATGCAGGGTTGCAATCCCGAAGCTCAGTAGCTGAAACACAATCACCTCAACTCCTGAACAACCACCCCACATTACGATTACAAATATACACTGAAACTGGGTACTTTTACACTAGTTTAAAGGGGAAACAAACCTCATCTAATCTCGTTACGATTGGGACCGCACAGCACATTCTCGTGAAACAGTTACACAAGTACCAAGAACCTTAATGGACCACATCGTTTGCACTATTGGATACTGTCAATGTATTGTAATTGTTAGTGGTAATTTAAAAGATGACTAGCACAAAATCTTACAACTCTTGGGATCCACAACTAGAACTTTCAAATATATTGTTCTTTGTTCAAAATCAGAACCAACAACATAAAGGAAACTCACACTCTTCAAATATATTGAACTACACGGTATGATTTACAAATCTAAAACTTTGTTTGATAATCAAGTCCTTCCATCTTATTTATTCAATACAACACACAAGTACATTCAATATGTATCCACTGACCAAGAAAAATTTCAATAAAATTTTTCTGTGAGCACAAAATAAGATGGACACATATCTCTTTTAGTATTAAAACAAATCTATAAATACATACAATTACAATACTCTTTTTGTTTTTGACCTTAATAGTAATAAGCTAAATAAATAAATGTGTCTAATGAATATCAAAAGTCATACACATCGAGTTAAATAAGACCGTTGTAAAAATTAGTCCACATAGAAATGATTCAGAAATGTTCTATATTCGTAAGTGAGTATGCCATTCCAGGGCTGAAAGTCAGATTTCTTTTCAATTCAAAAGTAATACAAACATGAAATGAAGTAAGTGGTAATTGTTAATCTGAGTCATGTTGAAAACAAAAACAGCTCAATGAATAATAATAAACAGCTTGTAGTTATTTAAAGACATTATTAATTAGTTACCACCAGTAAATGAATAAATAAGCAGATGTAATAAAAAGCGTCACAAATAAAAGGAATAGAAACAAGATTAAATTGCTAACCTGCTAAAAAACCACCAAAATGAGCGGAGAAACCAACACGTATTTTTCCATTTGGATTTGAAAATCGATCATATATAGCAAGTGCAGTATCACTACCACCTCAGAAACAATTAAAAAGAAAAAAAATCAACAGAGAACTTATATTAATGTCGATGAAAATGATATAAATGCAAAAAACAACGATTACAGCGCTAGTCGGAGTAACAATTTAAAATAGTCTTCACATGACCTTTCCAAAACGTCTGCTTTTTCTGACCAAATACGAGACCTAATTTCAGTACTGACACTTCGCCATTAATTCCAGTTAATTGGATAACAGGTATTATTTGGGAAGTACAGTCCAAGTGGAACTCAATCTCACAAACAATGGTGTTCAACCGACCTACTACTATTGTTCAAGGTTTATGATAACATAGTGAGATTAATAACTATGCACAAATTTACAGCCTAAAATAAAACACCTGTATATAAAATTTGTGGGCCTGTAGTATGAAATCTGAACAGTAATACATCATAAACATTTTCATTAGATTATGATCAAGGCTTGTTATATATGAGACTAGTGATATTAACCGAATAAACATAAAAGATACGGCACAGTTCAAAACTAAGATCTGTTGATTAAAAGATAGCACAACCAAATGCTGATTATAATAAATACTGTTGTGACAACTTTATTGAAGAATTAAAATACTGTGTTAGATCCCCAGAACTCACTTAGAAAAGGTCCTAATTTTGTAATTTTATTTCGAAATTTGAATTTTATGTTTTCGCGCCAAGAGACGCTTGGTTGACCTACAGCTTACATTTCTCACTCAGAAGTCCTTGACTGTCATTTGTTGAAGGATTTTTTAGTATACTATTTTGTGGCTCTCACAAGGGTGTTTTCTATGATTGTATAAATAATCTTGATTTGTGTGCTTAGTGACCTCGTATTTTCTGGGTGCTTGCAGAATACATTCTCTACGCCTCATCAAGACTTCTTGCTCTAGTTAGCAGGGCCGGAGACAACCGATAGAATAGCGTATCGTGTCACTGTATCTTTGATCATCGTTCCGTTTACCGAGTAAAGTGAACTTGTAATAGCATTCAAGCATATCATACTGCTCAGAAGAAAAAATATTAGAATGACCGACAAAATAAAAAATTATTAATGTGATGTTCTACAGACAGAAGTAAAGATTACTTTATACTAATCTTAATTAAACTCCTAAACTAAAAGACATTTACTCCTACTTACTTATACTTGTTACCCCTCGCGGCTCACTAGCATTCTCCATCCAGCTCTGTTCTGGACAATTCTTTCCAGTTCTTTCGAGTTGCAATTCATCCTTTTCATGTCTGCTTCAAATTACCGATGCAGTGTTTTCTTTGGTCTTTCTCTTTCCTGTTTCCCTTCAAGATTCCAAGTAAGCACTTGCCTCATGATACAGTTTGATGATTACCGGAAAATGTCTTATTCACTCCCACCGTCTTTTCTGATTTCTTCAACTGGAATCTGGTTTATTCCCTCCCACAGTAGGCTATTGCTGATAGTTTCCGGTCAACGGACACTTAGTATTCTGCGTAGACAATTGTTTACAAATACTTGTGCTTTCTTGATGATGGTTGTTGTAGTTCTCTAAGTTTCAGCTCCGTACAGTAGAATTGTTTCGACGTTCGTATTGAAGATTCTAACTCTGGTGTTGTATTGCAGACAGTTGTTTTGGGTTCCACGTATTCCTCAAGTGTAGGAATGTGACCCTTGACTTGCCAATCCTTGCCCTTTACGTCTGCATCCGATCCTCATTATTCATCGGTGATGCTTGCACATATCTACTTTCTCCTCTGTATTTGTGTTTTTTATTAACCCGTAGGTAAGAGTACTGTATGAATTCTTTTGAAATCAGAAAACGTTTTATAAAGAAACTATATTCGACAGAAAGTATCCGTCTGTCTACATAAGTGAAGATTGACAAAAAAAGAATAGCACACGCAAGAATAAATATGTATATTAGCAAAGGGAACATAAATAAAAACGGACTTTACCCAAACAAATCAATGATATAGATGAAAAAATCATATAAAAAGGTCTATAATGTGCAGTAATTTATGTTACCAATAAGTATATCACGAATAAAACCTACCAAGTACAATAATTAGAATTGATCTGACAACACCACTTGATATGAAGTTTAAAGGATTATTTAACCATCCCTCCTGCATTAAATCCCAATTCTGAAGTATTCGGAAAATAAAACAATAATTCAAAGAAAACAGAATGAACTTTAACAAAGTTAAATAGGCACTAATAACCAAAATTCATTTGCAAATGCAATTTTCCTATTGTAATCTGATAGATATCAGACGAAACGACTTCCTAATTACCTATTGATATTTAACCACCGGATAGTTTGTTGACAGAGAGTTGTCATTCAAAATAATATCTCATCACCTTATTTATACAAAAACAATTTAACAAATCTGAGATTGAAATACATAAAGCCTATAACTTTCGGTTATATATCTTGATCAAATTTAACAAATAAATCAACACAATCGCGGTAAATTATTTCTTGTGTTTTTTTTAAGGTAACGGATAAGTCAAAGGCACAACCATTATTTGCAAAGAGTTGGTTTTACATTTTTATAACCTTTGTTGAAGCATCATTAATGATACTACCAAAGAAAGATATTCCTCAATGCACTAACTAGATATGAATAACTCAACACAATATGTAATTGCTAAACGACTAGCCAAAATTCTACGATCAGTCAAAAATCAACCTAAGAGACACATCACTGTTGGTTCGATCAGTTTTGTTGATTTAATATCCGATGGTAACGTAGCTGGAAAAATGATTTTATTTGATGTTACCTCTCTTTTTTACAAATGTTCCGGTCTCACAGAAACAATCTGCCTACTATGTGATCATACTGAAAACAAACAATGTTTAATATTAGTTTTCCAAGACACTTCTAACATCCAATTTAAACTTGATAATGGATTCTATGGACAAACTGATGGCGTAGGGATAGGATCGCCAACTGACCGAATTTTAGTTGTGTTATTGCCAATCCTGAAAACACTGTACTCAGACCTACAACTGACAGTTTCTGTTCATACAAGAGATAATTGGATTATACTTTCACTATTTGTGACGCTATCAATTTCAACAACACACTAGACAAGTTCAGTTCTTGTCATCAATTAATTGCATTCACAATGAAATCAGAGTCAGGTGCAGAATTTTACTCTTCTGATTCTTTTGTTAAAAGGAGACCTGATGATTCTCTACAAAGATCGACATACAGAAAGTTTGCCCTAAACGGGGAGTACACAACTTCTCAAAGTTGGATCCCACTTTACCAAAATGGAAGCCTAAGCACGAGGGTTAGGTAAATCTCTATTAATGATAGAATTGAAATTAAACTTGATAAACCACGGTAGATACTAGTCAAGAACAGATATCAACATAGATTTATCGATAACAATTTTAAGCCAAAGAAACAACGTGAAGGAATGTCTATGGAACAAAGGAAAACCCTCTTTTCGAACATTTAGTTTGAAGCAGAAATTCTGAAAAAGATTTTTGAGATCTCTCAGAAAAACATTTTGTTCGGCAGGAATTAGGATTTTATTCCTTAGTTGACCTTTGATCCGTAGTTGTGTGAAAAATAAGCAGCCGCTTTAGGGCAAATTAATCTGTATTTATCGGTTAACTTGCCCGTTTGAAGCAAGTTATTATGGTTGAACAAATAGAGCTCTTTTGAAGCGTATCTCCAGATATTACACTGTCTGGCTATCTAAAGGAACATTTAGATAATCCTGGTTCCTCTATCCCACCAGAATCCCCCTTCAAAATCATTCATACAGTCAGAATAATAGGCTCGAAAAATATACAAATGAAAAACTAACGTACAGCGATAGCTATAGCTACCCACCAATTCAACTCTAAGATTTGTGTACAAAAACAATATATGCAGTCCCTCATTCTACCGTGGTCTTAAAATTTCTTTCTATCTTCCATAAACCATCATTTTTTACACTCCTCTTCAGAGATTTATCACAACTATTGTGACAACTTTCAATTAGTTTGTTTCTAATATTTATCAAATGTACTATTAACTTTACCTTAACGTTTTTCATTAGCTGTTGGATTATTTATTAACTTCGTTCCGATACCCGATTTTCGTAGAAAATTTATGTCGATAAGAGACTTCAATTCCTTCTTATTTATTCGATACCATTCCATAGACCGTCATTTTTAGCAAACATTAATTATAAATACGGTTGTACAGTTTCGGTAAACGAAATCGTCGAAAAGTAAATGTTCTTTGCTGAATTATCTTTATTCTCGTACAACATGATTTTCCGAACCTGTTACGTGAGCGAGTGATCAGTTCGGCCACATCAGTCATTACAGTAAATGTATCACATCTGATAGATCTATCATGAGACTAATTTTACCAAACTAAGATCGCAAGTTAGCATCGACGAAGAGAAAATCTACCTACGCAGATCCGAAATAAATTCTTTATTCAAAAAGACTTATGTGGACGAAATACTGTTTTGCATACATTTTACCTTTGGAATTCGAAAACATATCCACTTGTCTGACTAGCTTTGAGTCAAGTTAACTAGAAATGGCATTTTTTTATAATGGTGCCTCTAATTCGGTGTTTCATACTAGGGATCATTTTATGCTGCTAGTCCCATTGGTAACCCCTTTCTAGGTTTTCATTAGTCAGTCAGCTACAACGTAGGACCAAACACATTCATTATCGAAACGATGGAACCTCTTACTACCATTCAATTTACATTACACTAGATTTTATATACTGACAATCTTTAATTGTATGTTATGAAATTTCTTAGAAATATTCAGCTACAAGAGAGAAAACCTAACATACCATTATTACAGTGGCTAAATGAGCGCCAATCAGAGCATAACAGCCGCCACTAGCTCCACACATCAGAGAGAACGAGTCAGTAACAGAACTAGCTAAAGAACCTATTGTAAGCATTAACATACACAGGACAGAATGGAAGAAATAACCATTAACTTTTATTAAAACATCAAAAAAGTTAGTTAGCAAATATATATATATATATATATATATATATATATATATATATATATTTGCATATGAAAAGCAGTATAATCTGATAAGTATTAAGCTTTGAACCATGATGAACCCGTTGAAGGGACATTTGCTTTTCCTGTTTTTGACACATGATCCTAAGGAAATTTACTACATATTCTACCAGCTCCATAAGGTACAATCATTTAAAAGTATGATTATCAAGCCACTTTGTAGAAATATGCGTCAATTTACTAATTAGGTGTTTAGATTTTCATGTATTGATTCTAAAGTATTGGTGAACATAACTGCATATATTTGTATGGTCGCACTTTCTTATTTGTTATTACTTCAACAAGATAAAAAATTAAAACCCATTTAGCCGAATATTTCCTACCACAAAACATTCCACTTGACAAACAATTTGATTGATACAATTATTATAACGCACTAGCACAACATACTTTTTGGTATTTAATATGATGCTAGTTAGCTTAGAAAACAATTTGAGAAGTCATCGTTATTTGATCAGTAATCGAAACTAAAACAATGATCAGTCAACTTATTCCTATTATAAGCCATCCGTAATTTTAGTAGCTCGTAAATAACGTTTGTGAATGCAGTGCCAGACACTGAACATTCTCATCACTGATTCATCAGCTCCGTACAGGTTGAACAAAAACCACGCTGACTTACATAAGAATGAACACAAAACTACATTTAAACAGTTGGATGCTCCCAACAATTAATACATTTTATGGTGAAAACAATCAATAACAATAAAAGTAGACGACATACTTTCAGACATAAGGTTGTAGTGCATTCAACAAGTTTTGAGTAGATATGCATTCCTAGCCGATTACTGTATAACTTAAATTTTGAGGAAAATAAGGTCATAAGCGTTTAATAAACATTTTACAAATACGTATGGTTTTACAAATAACAATGCAAAATATTACCTGAAATAACACCTAACAAATAAACTAATCCAACTCGCCAGAATTTATGAACCAATTCAAGTAGAAGACCAAGTACAATTTGCACTAAACAATTAAAAACTAGGTGCTTATAACCATAATGAATAAACATATAGGTTAAAAATCTCCATAGTTCGTGACGTTTAGTTGGGTTATAAATAAGTATACTATCAATAGGAAAACCAGATGAAACTGTAAAATCATTGGAATCAGGTTTGTTTCTATAGGTAACAACGTAGTATATAAAAACTGCAATCTGAAACAACAAAAAACATCGAAAGTATTAGCGATCACTAACAGGTTATTATTATTATACCGTCTAAAATTTACAACTGATGTCGGATAGACTAATCATGAAAAAAGACGAGACAAACAATAACAGGTTTCTCCTGAAGAAGTGTAAACCAAATGCTCAACAATAAAAAAGGTCATAGTCATTTGCGTTTATAAAGTAGATGACGAAATGCTACATAGTATGGTGAACCTACCGCACAAAAAATTTAACACGCCATTTAGTATATTAAAACGATATTATTTCTAAATTACAGGTCAATAGTAACCAACATTGAAACTTTATACTAAGCTATAAGACGTATGCTGAGATTATTCCGAAAAGATTACATACTCTGAACCACTGGCCTATGAGAGGAACGTTACTTACTTACGCCTGTTACTCCTCGTGAAGGAGCATAGGCCGCTCACCAGCATTCTCCATCTAACCCTGTCCTGGACAATCCTTTCTAGCTCCTCCCAGTCGTTATTCATCTTCTTCATATCTGCTTCTATTATCCGATGCAATGTGTTATTTGGCCTTCCTCTTTTCCACTTCCCTTCAGGATTCCAAGTTGGGGCTTGCCTTGTGATGTAGTTTGATGATTTGCGTAATATATATCCTATCCATTTCCATCGCCTTTTCCTAATTTCCTCTACAGCTGGAAGTTGGTTTGTTCTCTCCCACAGAAGGCTGTTACTGATGGTATCTGGCCAATGGATGTTGAGTATCCTGCGTAGACAATTATTTATAAATACTTGTACTTTCTTGATTGTGGTTGTAGTAGTTCTCCAAGTTTCAGCTCCATACAGTAGAACTGCCTTGACGTTCGTATTGAAGATTCTCACTTTGATATTGGTTGAAAGTTGTTTTGAGTTCCATATGTTCTTCAATTGTAGGAATGCGACCTTTGCCTTACAAATCCTTGCCTTCGCGTCTGCATACGATCCTCCTTGTTCATCGACGATGCTTCCCAGGTGTGTGATGGATTCTACATCTTCCAGAGTTTCGCCATCAAGAGTGATTGGATTGCTGTTCTCCGTGTTGTATTTGAGGACCTTGGTTTTCCCTTTGTGTATGCTGAGGCCTACTGATGAAGAGACTGCTGCTACATCGGCTGTCTTTGTCTGCATCTGTTCGTGTGTATGCGATAGGAGGGCTAGGTCATGTGCGAAGTCCAAATCGTCTAATTTGTTCTGAGCTGTCCATTGTATTCCGTGTTTCCCCTCAGATGTCGAGGTCTTCTTAATCCAGTCGACCACCAGAAGAAAGAGGAAGGGATCGAGTAGACAGCCTTGTCTGACTCCGGTGCTTACTTGGAATGCGTCTGTCAGCTGTCCTCCATGCACGACCTTGCACTGTAATCCGTTGATCTCGAAGTTGGGCGTCTACTGAGTGTTTCATCCGGTTCAGCAACACTCTGTTTAAGACTTCCCCCGATACTGACAGTAGTGTGACGCCTCTGTAGCTCTCACATTTGCTCAGGTCTCCTCTCTTTGGAATGTTGATGAGGTGTCCTTCTTTCCAGTCCATCGGCACTTGTTCTTCCCAAATCTTCTTAAATAGAAAGTGAGGCATGTTTGCAGTTACTTCCACGTCTGACGTTAGTGCTTCAGCTGGTATATTTTCAGGTCCTACTGCTTTCCCACTCTTGATTTGTTTGATGGCCATCGATGATAGGAACATCGGGTGAAATCATTTCTGGTAAGTTAGTGAACAATATAACCAACTATACCAAAAAGGGAAAAAAATGATGAAGAGGTACTTAAAAAATACCGGGAGAATGTAGATCTGTGTACGAAATTAAATTTAAAAGCACCTGGATAATAAGAAAATCCACCAGTAACTAAATCGAAACAAATAAAGGTAATAGATGAACATCCAGAGAGCATGTGATTGGCTAATGATGTCTATAAATACATAGGAAAAACTTTAATCTGCAACCGTAACGGAGTTCTGGGATATATTACCTATGTTTACTAATCAGTATGCATTGAAAAGCTGTAGTCGCAGTAGCTTATCGTCATAATAATTAAATTACTATGCATTACTAAAAAATACAGCTCAAACAAAGTAGCCAATACAGAAGTATAAAATTACGGACAACTGTTGACCCCTCATACATAGTGAGAAAGACAATATACGGCGAACAAAAATATAACACTTCTCATTTGGCCTTCAAAATTACAACTTCGTGTTTAGATCTGATTCAAATTATAAAGATCCACTTCACTGTTTAATGTTGCTTCCATGTAACTATCTTCAAAAACTAATTCGTTCTCATCAGAATTAGTATTTTAGACCAGAATAGTGCTGATAGACACTTCTTAGTGAACAACAAAAACAATTACAGATCCACAAACAAAAACCAAATCATGTAAAACAAAGTGTTGTCAGTCAATTAGGAAATGAATTACCTCAGCAATAGTTATCAAAGGGATAAATATAGGAGGAGGGCGACAGTCATACGCCTGTACATAATTATTAATATCTGCTTCTTTTGAACTACCAATATCTTTGGTGTCATAGCCAGAATCAATGGCAACAGCTCGTTGATGTTCGCGTCCACAATCTGGAGCTATAGCTAAAACTACACGATTGAGCATCCGTTTGTGAATACGCAGCCTTCGGATAATTTTTTCATCTTCAGACAAAATCTACTCAAGTGTTTTTTAAAGATATGGAAATCAAAAAGTCCAAATTATACCGACGAAATTCGGCACACAAAAAGACTCAAAATACAAGATAAAACACTTGTTTCCTGATTAATTCACTTGATGCGATTGCTTAACACTACCCTACAGCTAGCTCCCCTAATAAAATAACTAGGGTTCACGAGCAATTCATACGATATATATCTAGACAGGATCAAATGTACCCTATCTGTATTAATCTAGAGTGACGCATGATCCACGAAATCACACAGTATAAAAAAGAGCAAACATGAAGACGATCACCTAGTGACATTCTATACGTTTGCCAAAATACTACACTATACAAAGAAACTCAGATTTTGAGCCACATTTATTGTAGTTTACACAATACACAAATGTTATGAAATAAGATTTTAATCATACAGTCAAGAAAGTCGGACCAACAACCCAATAAGGTTACTTAGCAGTCAAACGTCAACACAGTTTCAAGAGTTAGATTATTTAAATAACTAGGAGGAGAATAGACGAAGTTCTCTTCCATCAGTAGCTCTCGGCATCGACAATATTACAAGTTTACACTTCGAAACAGACCTAGTGGGACATTCCACATGTTTAGAAAATTCATACACTATTAGTGAAAACTTCATTTTCAGTACAAGAGCAATCTGGGGAGCATAATAAAGCATTATATGATTGCATTCCATATAAGTACTCAGAATATTTCAAGTATGAAATTTCACAAATTCCACCCTTCAAGAACAGGTAAGTTTCATCCATCAAAGTAAACTACGATTTCATTACATTCCCACAACAAATACAAAAGCCCGAAGATGGAAAACACGTTGACTCGCATGTGTCGGAATAACAGATTGGAATCTATGCGTCAACCCGCTTCGTAATCTGGAAACAACCGTGATTATGTATACAAAGATAACCGAGTGATTTCGCCATAGAGGAACACGATCTCAAGTCCAACCGCATCCATACACAACACAAACTAGGATCTAAATAGACACTGCTCATACGCAGTAGAGGATCATTGGAAATCATATCACTAAACGATCACACCATCAGTTAAACTGATAAATACAAGTAGCACAAACGAGATGTCAACCGTGTCAAACAGACTTATCGTTCTAAGCTTTTAGTTTGTCACATACATCTTTTTCCTATTACTGTGCATCACATGAGATAACACATTGACAACATACAAATTTGTTACACTATAACTTGAAAATACTTACTTGTTTCAGGAACTCATCGTAAGTAATGAACTGGTCTCCATCTTTATCAGCTGAGTCCACAATATTGTGGACTGTTGATTCTGACAAGTGAGACTTCCCGAGAAATTGTTTAAGATCCGATGAGGGGATACCAGTTTTTATATCATACTAATTACTTACTAAAACAGTTGAACTTGGTTTACCTGGTCAAAAGTAGGTTTGAATTTCTACAGAACAGCCGATATGCATACAGAAATAAACATACTTCATCCAGGAAACTGCGCACACTCCTAGATCGTTCACTGGACATATGTAGCCGGTAACTTTATGTTGAGCGCTTCTAGCCAGAATGTTAGTATCGCACTCACAAGAACAAGTGATGCCGAAAAATTATTCCAATAAATTTCTTTGAGCCAGTTTTGTTTTGTGAAACAATTTTCCAACCTCTTTCAGGAGTTTAGTTACTCATTTGCAGTGATTTAATGTCTAGTATTATCATTTTTCTCGTTTTCAACATTGACAGACAAAACACCACATTTACACTTTTCTGATCATTTTCTGTCTTTAGTCTTTTCGTAGATGGAGTGTGTGACATGTTTACGACGGTAGTTGGCAGGATACTATCACCTTACGGATTCTAACTCTCATGGTGTTTCAGTTTCAGTAGTTACTAGACAGAACCAGTGAATTATTTATTTCTTGTCATCGTTCCTGATCATGAACACTTGCGATTTTCATGGTATTCCCCCTAAATTTAAGTACTGAAACAAATTGGTGGTGCTAGAGATGCCACAGGTATTTAGAGCTTGACAACGCCTTAACCAGTAACACCATTACAATCGACATACATCAACTTAATCAAATTGGAGGTCAGAAATGAAGATTCGTAGTCGTCTTTGGAATGCCGTGGATATATCGGAAAGCTTTAATTCTAAGCTGGCTAAGGGTTGTAAGAGATGCGTAGCAGGGCATACCCACTCATGATCTGGTGCGAATGTGTGACCAGGAGCCTTCAAATAAATCTGTCCACTAAAGCCAATGAGGCCAGAATGAAATCCCGAAGGCCTACGGAACTATTTATTTTGTCGGTTTACTTATTGCTACAACACGAATAAATGTACAGTAGCACATAGAATGGAACCATCAGGAAAATAAAACAGAAATAGTATTGATGATGTCACAGGTATTCAGTGTTTGACAACGCTTTTACCAGTAACACCCTCTAATATATTTCGTTCCCACCCAGAGAAATCAAAAGACAGAGTCGAGGAGATCTGAAGAGTATATTTGGCGACGACCAATATATCGGAATTCTCTGATCTAATCTGGCTAGCGATTGCGGTTGATGTTGAGCACAGCGTTACCACACGTGATCTGGTGCGGATGCATGACCGAGCGCCTTCAGCTAGATGAGTCCACTAAAACATATGGTCAGCATCCAATGTCGAAAACTTAGGGCTATTTATTTTGGGGATTTATTTACCGCTACAGTATCATTACTGTTCACTGTGGTCATTCCGAATTTGCTATTGTCGTTACGGAAGAACTTTTGATTGATTCAGTCCTGTTGAAGTGATTTAGGAAAGGCAAGACAAATTTTTAAGACCGTCTGTGTATATCAGGTTTAAGAGTTCTACATTAACAGGTGTAGTCCTGTGATTGGGAATCCTGATTACTCTCTTATGAGTGATCCATTAACCATTCCGACAGATACCGATTAATACTCACTGGTTTCAGTTTCAGGCAGAGAATTTGGGGATCAATCTCGAGGAAATATACTTTCAAATTGTTGACGAGAACATAATGTTTGAACTATTAGAGTCTGTTTGATCATAACGGAGTTTAATTTGCGGAATTTTGTCATCTAATTTGTTGAGGTATTCGATCTGTGTCCTGATTTATGCTTATCGTGGTTGAAACAAAACAAGAAGGAAGTGATTAGAAGCATTATGGGTTTCGGTAATAAAAATTCTGCTCAGACTTTGGAAAAGCTGTTGTTTGACAGGTAGCTGTATCTCATGACAAGTGGAAACAAACTACGAAACTTCTGTGACATCACTGGTCCTTCCTGACCCTATAGGTTAAATAATGAATTACGGGATCAAATTTCAAGGTCAAATATTGGTTATTCATAAATTAATCTCACTAGTTCCTAATCTTTTTAATCATCTGTGACTATTTTTCTGCCCTAGTTTGCTTTGAGGCAGTTTGGACTATCCCTTTTTTCGTTTTGACTCTCCAGACAACACTACTACACTAAAGTAATGAACGATCATATTTCGTATACAGGAGGCTCCACCAGTGTTGTGCAACAATAAATCTCACCCGTCTTAGTTGGTTATGTTTAAGCTGGGCGCGTAGTTTAACAGTGATTTGGAGATAATTAATGTTAGCCTGTTGTATCTTTGAAACTAAGGACGATACCCAAATGATTAGAGATGATGCTGGAGACCTCTGCTCACTTTTAGGCAACCTGTTCACGCATAAAAATGCACTACTACCGTTGAATGTAGAATATGAACTGAACTCTGCACATTTTTTGGAGATTATATTTAGACAGTTTCTCACTAGACTAACGTAGGTGGATTAAGATTATCACAAGAATAAATGAAGAGAAATAAGTACCTAAGTTTCTGAACAAAATGGTGTCGTCACTGGGAAAAATCTAGATGTAATAGTCCACTCCTTCAGTGAATGCTGAAGTTATGATTGTCTGAGATGCAAACATGTGATAAGAAATTGTGAAAATAAATTGGATCAGTCGGTGACTTACCGTCCATTACCATGGGACTTAGGTATGGCAGGTGAAGACAGGGTGGACCACACAAACGAGGTTACTCAGATACGTGACCAAAAGAACCTAGCGGTTATACTATACTTCGATATTACGAAATCCTTTGACAAAGTATGTCATAATCTCCTAATCAACAGACTCCAGTCAGTTGAAATTACAAAACCCCAGTTGCAATGGATCAAACCTTTTCTCACAAACAGATACCAAATAACCAAGACTAACTCTGCAACATCTACACCTCGACCAATAACCAGTGGTGTTGTGAAGGATAGTGTCTTGGGTCCATTGCTCTTTACAATCTACACCAACAATATATGCAAGTGCTTTAGCACAAGCTAAAACCAGCCTCTACGCTGATGACTTAAAAGTCATCTATAGGACTGACACTAGCGATGTACGTGGTACTATACAAACAATCCAACATAACCTCAAAATGGTGAACAACTGGTGTGAACGGTGGGGGTAAGAGCTCAACACAGAGAAATGCGGCTGGCTGTGTATTGCAGACACATCTCTTAAAATAAGACTGGCACTTAACCATAACCCACTGACTAGATTGACATCAGTAACTGACCTAGGGGTACATTGCTCACACATTCCTAAATTCTCTGAAGACACCTCAACTAAAGCATCTAAAATGCGAAAATTGCTTGTCATCGTCCTTCGAAATTTCTTTAAAAATGAATCTGAAATCATTCTTTATAAAGTCTGTGTGAACCCTATAGTTGAATACTGTTTATTCTTATTTTCCAACCTGCGCCTATGAGATATACTTAAGGTGGAAGGAATACAACGAGAATTCACTCGCAAAATACTTAAGAACGACCCACTCATTGACTACAGTTCCCGATGCCATATCTTGGGACTAGGACCCCTTTGGAAATGAAGGCTTAGGTTCAATTTGATTCTCTATTGCAAACTCCTCAAAAGACTTACTTATTCCACATGTAATATAGTTCGTGTCAAAGACTCACATAAATAAGACCTTCGAGACAAAGTATCCACGGTCAAAGTTGAGAAATACAGATCAAAAACTCGGTAAAACTTCTTCCTCAATAAATGTGCATTAATATGGAACAGTCTTCCCTCTGAAATACGCATGGCAGATGAACTACATACGTTTGTAGGACTTATTGATCAAGCCCTCACTTGCATAGATCTAGCACAAACGAACACATTTGCGTCCCACTGAGATATTATAGGCTCTCTACATGTGCAAACCGAATCGCCTCATTTTCCTACTTTATAGTTGTATTAGATATTTTTCCCCCAATTTTTTTACTTGAAGTATACAGGTAACTCAATGAACCTATTAACTTTCTGTAACAAAAAGACGCTCACTACTACCCTAAAAAGTCAAAAGAACCACATAATCGCCTGTCTATTACCAAATGTTTTGCATCTATGGAGCCTATTATCTATTGACCGGTTAGGATAGAACAAAATAGCACCAGCACCAAAATGATGTGAGTCATTTCTTGTCTATTCTTTATCAGCTTTTTGCTCTCCAGTACGCTATTTTGAATTGCCATTAATATTATTTCACCACTCGTTAGCTTATCTATAATTCATATATTTCTATACTTTCCCGCCTACTTTGGTAAACAATAATCCTACAATATACCCTTCTTATAGCTTATACTCTGATTGGAAACCTATACTTTAATCCATAGTCCATTAAAGCATTGAGTCGATATCTTACCCACAGTTCATAATTTGTAACTGCCTGATAAGCTTGTAAAATGGTACTTATAAAATACTTTCTTCCAATGGGGTGTGAAACACAGAGCATTGTGGGAGGTATTATATATGTCCAAAAAATAAGCATAAATGAGTCCAACATCACAAAAAGAGGGAGTTACTGACCTGCAAGCATTGATGGTGAGGGCGATGACTACAATCCACCCATGTTTGTGGGGCAGAACATTTTGTTTGTATCAGGCTCTTTATGTTTGAGAACAAGTCAATCGGTCTGTGATATTGAGGTTGTTCTCCTACGCTCACCATTCAGACTCATGTTTCCAATTTTAAGCTGGATTACTTATTCTACTAACACAACCTATAACACGCTAACTCGGACTTTTACACTAGGAGTTTATAACAACCATACTTAACACGATCAAAATCCTAACATACTTATGCCGAGATTGGGTCTGGTGTGTAAAGTGGACGTGATGACACTTTGGAAAATACTTTGAAGGCTACTCAGTATATCTGAACGAATGAAATGATATTCGGTTCTAAAGATTGTATTTATTTAACAACCCTGCTTGCAGAAATATATTATATTTTTATAATATTACATGCATTACAAAAATAACTAAATATTAAACCATTAATATAGTAGGGTTCGACGGTAAAATAAGAGCCTATGAAGTAATAGATTGAAATGGTAAGACAAAAGACTAAATTGGTTGCAAAGAATGATAGTCAGATATCGATTTATGCAGGTCATATTGTTATGTTTACTGCCTGATTAACGCAGGACACGATATACAACTAATGGCACTGAAACG